ATGGGGAGAAGAAAGAAAGAGAGAGAGAGCCCTAGGTATAGTCTCGATGACTTATGTGGCTCTGACGCTATCAGCGAAGCGTCTCTAGAGTCCGGCTTGAGCCCCGTAACGCCGGTCCTCGTAAATCATCGCGATCCACCCACGCCCGTACCGTACTCTGCCCGCTCTCAAGCTCCACCTCGGAGATGCGATACGACAATTAACGAGGTCAAAAGGGGAACGGAACGTTTGCCTACGAAACTGCTGTATGCTCGCGACTGAGTGAGACAGAGAGAGAGAGAGAGAGAGAGAGAGAGAGAGGTGCGCGATCTCGAGTACGCCATAGGGGTACGATAGGCAGGTGTCACGCCACCGCGACCCCCCGGCGCGACGATTACGACGATTACCGGAGAGCCGGCGCGGCGTGCTCGCGGGAGGGTGGAGTCGCCTTTCCGTTGACACCGCATCACGAAGCACTAACCAGGTTATTTATGCCACCTCGTAAAACTTGTGGCGTGCCTGAACACACTAGTCGCCGCCGTCACCCCCGTCGCGTCTTGCGTCCCCCTATCCCCCTCCCCCGTCCCTCTTCCCCGGTCGCACGGGGACCAATCTCGAATGACAGAATCGAGGGGGGAGAGGGGAGGGTTGTTGGTGCACAGTCGTGCCTTCCTGCAGGATCGCGGACTGCCTACCGCGCGCGGTTGCGGTCTTAGCTCGACTCGCGGGCTCGAAAGTTACGAACGAGATAGGCGGCAGTAAATACGGAATAGACCGACGCGCGGGATTTAGCGGTGAAATATATCGCATGCCCGGCCGATACGGCGGCGATATATATTCATACATATCTATAACGTTAATATGCGCAATCGTATATATGCGGCGCGGCCGCGAGAAGGGACCCCGCGAGTCTGGCATTTTCATGAGTTATGGGCGCCGCGCGCTATTTTTATTACGTGCCGGCATATCGTCCGCCGGACGATAACTGGAATACTTTTCCCGTACGAAATATCGGCGCGCAAGATGGAAGCCTGGAATTGAAGGGCGAGCGTAAACGAAGCTTCTCACAAGAATTTGCCTATACGTTACGAATTATCTACGCGGGTGCAGGCATGCGACAATTTTCCGTGTGTGTTGCAACAGCGACATACGTAAGATTCCTGCCTGTTGAACGGTCAAGTTACTTAAGGCAACCATCTTCCTTTCCAGTTACGGTATTCGATGGAGCTGGACTACGACGTGATGAGCGTACCGGGTGGACCGTCCTCCGGGATGATGGCGTTGCTGCCACCGAGGGTAAACGTGTCCGCCCAGGGCGAGATACCGGTCACCCTGCAGGTCTTCAGGATCAGATTGCCGTGCTCGGGTGTCGTTAGCGCCGAAATTCCTTTGGCGCTTAGATTGAATGTCACGGCGCCGCCCGGCACCAGGTACAACGACACCGTCTTGGTCTTCAAGAGGAACAAGATCTGCTTGAAAGGTAACGTGCAAGTGCGTCCAGCGCTATCGGCGCGGATAACACCTCGCGCGCGACGATTGCAGCGCGTGCCTCTTGTGCGAGGCAATCGCATATGCTAATTTTTGAAAAATGTCGACAGGCCTAATCGCGCCTTATTATTCTCGTACATGTGAGAGAAAGCGCGGTGTGCACCCCCTATACATTTCATTATTCTCGCGCATGGAATTTAGTTCTGTGGTCTGAAATCTCGCGCGATTCTCTCATGGCAGCCGCGCATTAAACCGACAACTAGACTCCGGAATCTAGATTTCATATTTTGCCTCTTTTTCTTTCTTCTGTTATAAAGAAACGCGCGGCGTTTTCTTCATCCGCCTGCTTTATTCAGAAATCCATGAAAAAATCATGACGACGCGCGCTGTTTGTCTCACTTAAAATATGAAAACGCTAAAGTGTGAATTATTTAACTCTTCCGCTTAGTGGCGTTTTACCGGCGTAATTAAAATTGTAATTCCTCTTCAATTCTGAATAATGTTTATCCGATTCTCCCTCTTTCTCGCTCTCTTTCAGATTTATGATTATTTAATAACTCCACCCCCTTCCCTTAATTAATCAATAAATTTTGTTATAACGCAAAATTGTATAAATTAAGTAAATTTTTTAATAATTCATGAAACACGTTAATTAATGGTTGCAATCACGTTGGCTTGTTGGATTTCTGTGCCCTGTTATTTTCAATAGCGATATTGATCTCCACAGTGCATTATATGAAGATCCATTTCAAAGGGTAATACTATTTAAGCTTTGTAATCTGTACAACCATACGTTACTCGCTTGTGTATGTCCCCGCGGTGCGCAAGCGGTTGAAACGCACACGCTTTTGTTTATCTATACCCACTTTAACGCCATTGCGCCAGTCTGTTGATAATTATTTCGTTTACGTAATCTCGGATTTAATTAGCACGTTCGCGCGGACCCGGCTGAATATCTTCGTTACGGCGAGACAGTTTCGACGCGGTCGCGATTAAAACAGAAACGCGCATTCATTTCACGTCACGCGCAAACTCAATTTATCCACGCGATTTATGAACCCCCCTGCTCCGGACTGATAACTTTGACGTCGTGGTGTTGAACGTTTATATAGCACGTTGAAGAGAATAACAATAACAGTTTTCGGAATGCGGAATAAAGCAGCTGCGAGTTAATCATATTGATAGGACGGGATATTATCGCAAAGTCGCACTGTTTTACAGTTAATACACTATTTTCAACGATAAACTTTTATTAATAATCGTGGAGTGCGCAATCGATGATTGTAATTAAAGTATTAATTTATTTTATAACAAAACGGTAATTAATTTGAAATATACGAGATTTTCGGGTCTTTCCTAAATAAACGTCACCGCGTTATACAAATGCAACGCAGAGTACGGTCGCTTAAGTAATTATGTTTAAATAATGAAATTTTATATACATATATATGTAATATGTAATACGTTCAGTTTACGTTATGCGGGAGAAATGGAAATAACGGACCCGGGTGAGGGTACAAACGTAATTTCCGCGCCACTTCCGACAAGGGTGCTCGTAAGCTTGTACTCATGGTACTTCACAGGCGGCTCTCTCGACTCCGCAAACCTCATGCGACCACGAAAACATATGTTTTCTAAAAAAACAAGCCACGCGTAGCAACGATGAATGCAATCTGGCAAATAACCCCGATTTTCGTTCCTCTCGCGCCCATAATAGTTTGCCAATACTCCATACGGATTTTGTGTATGTGTAACTAAAGCGAATTTTGTGCATGCAGCTTCCGATAAATAAAAGTTCCGCGCGAACTAAGTTAGAGCTATGGCAATGTAGTCGTACTACTTTCTCTACTTTTATTTTCATTTTTTAAATGAGAAGAAAATTAATATTGATTTCCGATAAAAAGAGGTAAACTGGATTTCATCAGATAAAAGAGGTGTGAAAAAGAAACGCGGTTTAAAATTGAAAATTTTCTGCGCATTTCGTTCTTCAAGATATAAACACTATTGTTCAACACGCTATACCAAAAAAAATCACAAATAAGTTTTTAAGTCAATTTCATTGTGTTACATACTCATATTTAATATTGTGTACGTTAATTATAAGTTGCTCACAATTATATCTTAAAAAACTTGGAACATTCAAGGAGTTACACACCAAAATGTAACTGAATATTGCTCGGGTCGGAAAATATATGTATTTGCGCGATATACGGAAAACGAGGATGGCGACGATAGATAGAAAGAGAAGAAAGGAGGAAGAAGAAGAAAAGAAAGAGCAGAGAGAGAGAGAGAGAGAGAGAGAGAGAGAGAAGCGCAGATCCGGATCCGGTTACTGAAGCAGGCGACGGTACAACAAAAAGCAATCCGCCGAGTAAAATTGAATCTCGCCGGGGGTCGGTGTATTTAATGAAAGAGAAGAGAAGAGCAGAGGATTCCCGCCCCACGCCGAAGATCAAGAGGGTCGGCCGCGTAGAAAAACGAAGTAGAGGTGGACAGAGGTGAGCGGAAGGGCGGGAAAGAAGGACGAAAATAAGTAAGCGCCTCCGCGGTGAGGACCTTAGTCGCGTCCTGAGGAGCAGATTTCCCGCTTTGTCGAATTTGCTTCTTCCTCGTTCAGCTCCCGCATCGCCAAAGTACTATAGCCGGAACTCCTGACGAGTCCTTCGGCGATCGTTTCGAACTCGAGAGGTCCTGCTGCAATTTGAAAGCGCCTCGAGATCACTCGAAAATAATCGAATTCTCTATATGGAGTCCCCCTCCCTTTCCCCTATACTCGACGCTCGCGTATAGAGTTCCATATATTGAACATCCGCTGTCAAATTGAAAATAAAAGATTCAGTGATCTACGCACCGATTCTTTTAATCCTCCTAGCTACTTTAATATCTGCAAGTTCAGCCTTCGACAATTCCTGTATTAGCTACTCTTTTTTTTTTTACGGTATCCGTGTTCTATATTTTTTTTTTCAGATTTTTATATGTTTGCAAATATTCAAGTTATTTTACATCTCAAATATGTTCGAAACATGTTGACGTTTTGAATTATCGAGTATTTTTGCAAGTTTTGCAAGCTTAGTGGGCGCGTACTATGTGAAAAGTATCGGAAAAAAAATATTTGGGACGCAAGTGACGCTAGTAAAAATTTTATCCAACGTGATTCAATGGCGATCTGGAGTTTTCCAATCTTCGACTACAAAGTGCGCGCGGTGTTTCTTTTTCTAAACCGATCGCGATATTGAAGCGTTTCATTCATTGCGGAATAGAATAAGCGTATATGTATATATCAGAGCGCGGTGCACAAAAGACGTAATTCCGTGATTTACGTAAGCCTCTCAGCATGACCAAATTTGTTTCTAAAGTCCACAGAGCTCGCGGCGAATGAGGGAACGCGATTCGTGGAGGGTCATCCTGTTAATCCGCCGGAGACTTAATTCCGGGCCTCCGTAAATCTCGGTTAAGGTCTGTTTGATGGTAGCAGATAGCATAGCTCGCCCGGATTTAATTGAGATACGCAGTCGCTCTTAACGCGCCTTCCTGACTCCGTAGTCGCACTTAAGTCTCGAAGTTTCGGAGGCGCGCGTCGCTCGCGCGCTAAGTTACGTCGATAGGCACTCCACTGTTCCTCGAGTGCTGTGAGCAACACTCGATCGATTACTTATCCTCGTTACGATAGCTATCGAAGCGTACATAGGCAGGAAGACTATTTTATCCCGCTACATGATTTTTAAATTATATTATACCACCAGATTTAACTTGTAGAAAAGTTACGGCGCTATAGAGAGCGATAAAGAAAGTAAACGGGCGCAGCAATACGTAATAAATTGCAAGTGGTAAAACAAAACCGAATTGTATAGTTACATCGCGTGTTCGGAAAATCAATTACGGAAAGTATGAAGAAACATGTACTATAGCGCGAAATCTGACGCAGTTATATAATTCAAGCGCAGAAATGGTAGAAATCTCTCAAAAGATACCTGTTTGTATTTCGGACGCGTCGTAGCGTGCGAGAGGAACATTTTAGGAAGATGGAGGGACTCGGCGCAAAGGAACGATGCGAGTTTTACCCCCTGAGAAACTGCAGCGCACAGCGCCCGAAGACTGCTACGATTTATTTAACTTTTTCTTCCTGCTGCTTCCTGCGCACGTCTCATCGCGCTCGAGCAAACTCCTTCTCGTCTTGCTCGTCTTCGTAACTCGTGTTCGCGATGCTCTACTTCGGCTATCACGCAACCTGCTTGGTTTACGTTATCTTGGCAAAGGCAAGAAGCCTGCTTCCTTCCTTTATGAAACGAGGAAATGAGCGAGGGGGAAAAAGGAAGAAGTTAAATATCATGGTTTATATTACAGCCAGTAACGTATTTATTAGAAAAACTGCGTTTAAAATTTTTATAAAAACGCGAAGAAGCAGTGCAATAGTAAAGACAAATAAAATTCAAATTGAAAAAAATGTTTATTGCATAATTATTTGAACGTTCGTAGCCATTTCTGCGAGACTACAAATAATTAAAAGTAAAATAATAAAATGTCGTAGAAATTTAAAGGGAAGAAAACGTTCATAATACACAAAGCATATTCTCCAGCTGTATTGGACAGAATTATAATCGAAAACTTAAATTAAACTACTAAAGCTTTACAGAACGTTTTATAATGAAAATTGGAATAGTTTTATAAAAGATGACATTTCTTGGAATACGGTTAATGATAATTCAATATACAATTGATCGATATAACATCGATAAATTATCAATTTAATCTTTGACGGTTAATTTTTTAAAATTTCTTATCTAATAGAAAGAACTTCGCGATTACTATATATTATGTCAAGTCTTATTCTCCGAGGTGGAATTTTCTCACACCGCAAGCAATGCGTATTTTTAATACACTACGACCTGTAGCTAAACGAACATTTCAGAGAGTACGTCGTAGCATTTTTTTTTTATACCCGTAACCAACGTTGATGTTACTTACTCGGATGAGATTGCTCTGCAACAAAAAGCTCCGGCTTTCAAATAAATATACAGAGGGGGAGAAAATGTATGAGTGCGTGCGTGTAATTGCTTGCTATTAGATCTCAAAAATAAATAGGAATTTAGCTTTGACTATTTCAATTAGAAAAAAGTTTCGCGTTAACCGTTTCCCCTTAAAATTTAAGGATTATACCTTACGCACATGTGTAAGTTTTTATTGTGTGGTAAACGAAAGAGAGAGAAAGATTCTAATGAATATCAAGTAAAGACTTGAAGACTCAGGTAAAGTAATTAAAGTTTTCATTGAATTGAAGGAGAAAAATAACTAGGAATGTGTATATATATAGAGAGACATGATAGTCCCGTAAAGTCTACAAGAAATAATTACACTTACGCGCGAGTTGTAGACGAGGAGAGAAACACAGAACGTGATAATGGCGATCTTACTCGCTTACGGCGCACGTAAGAAGGTAAGTTACTGCAGAATGAAGAGTGGTGTTTTGGATTTCAGGCGGGGCGGTGCCGATGAAGGAATGCATTTAGGGATTATACGACACTATAATCTCGGGGACGAGTTAAGAGTTGATGGAGTTTACTTAATTTTATCATGACGCTCCGAAAGGATGCGTCTCCCTTTCCACGGTGTATCCTAGTCGGGGCTGACGTGCTCGGTTCTTGAAAGCTTTTGAGCCCTCGCGCTAAAGTTCCTCCGTCTAGGCCACGTTATTTACCTTTATAAGGGACGACAAGGCGCTGCGCCCGTTCGACCCCGAAGTCTTTTCTTCTCGCAACGCGCACGAAATAGAGAGAAAAGAAATATCAGAAAGCGAGGTACCGGCGGGAGAATGTAAACGCGTGACGCAGCGAAAGAAAAGTCTCGACAAGTCTCGTCCTTTCAGACTGTCCCGCGAGAAACGAGAGAAACGCCAACTGAGTTTGACTAATTCGCCGAGACATGTATTTTAATAAAGCAACATTTCCACGAAAATTTTGCGTCACAATGTAACTCGTGAAATCCGAAGTGACGAATACAACGTGGAAAATGTTTAGAAAAATATTCGACAGATTTTAGCGGTCAAAATAAATTTAAAAAAAAAATCAGGATTTCAGATGTAAAATAAAATATTAAATGTAAGGGAAAGCTTTTCTAAATACGTTAAATGCTATTTGTAGTAATTTAAGTAATATAAAGAACGATGATGTGACGACAGGATGGTTAATAACCGTGTGACACAAGACCGCGCCGTGGCGCGTGAGAAATCGCTACGCGAAGTAACAGTGGGTCGAACGAAATCGCGATAGTTGGCTATACTTACCGGAAAATTCGTGGTTTGCGGGCAACGCGAATTCGCCATCAAAGTGAGATCTCTTTGAGCACTTTCCATAGCTCGTCGATATTCGCGCTCGTTCGATAGCACTCCGATACGTATAAACAATGGCTCGATCCCTGTTCCAAGGGCTTCCCGATAGATTCGGATCTCGAGCACGTGGTTTGAGTGGAAATGCTCCAATTGACAAAATGGATTGCCGATACTATAATGGCGGTCATGCGAGCTTTGCAAATCGAATACGAATATAAAAACGTAGCCGTCGAATGAAATGTGAAGAGGGTATACGCGAATTGCGTGTATCAATTTTTTTTTAAATTGAAAATAAAATAAAATTAAAAGCAAAATTAAATTATTGACGTTGTTTATGTCGTATGTACATTATTTGCCGTGTGCTTTGGAAGGCCGAAGCTCCAGGGATATGTGCTGATGTTCAACACGCTGGAAAATTTATTTTCGGATAAATGAGATCGATTTTGTTTCATTAAATTGATCCAATTGTTTTATTAGATTGATTCAATTATTATCTTCAATTTATTTGCGATAATTGAAATTTATTGAACCGATACTTCGTCCGCTTATTCTCGTTGGTACGCGTAAGAACGTAAAACGCAAAATACGCATGAATTTTAAGTACTGACAAACTCTGACTTTTATTTGCAGGTGTCCAGACCCCTCCCAGCAACGATTCGGTGCGCTTGGAGCCCGATCCGCTCGCGAATGGTGCCGGTGCACTCTACGTCGCCGCTACCTGTGCTTGCGCCTTAATCTTGGTCGTCGGCAGTGTCGCCAGCGCGTTATACATTCGCAACAGCAAGGCTCGGGTTCAAGAATCTCAGTGAGTAAAATTTCATCAATACAGGATATTATGATTTGATTGAGCGAGAGTTGAGCAGCATTTAATAAAGAGTATCGCGCATTCAGTATTATATTGCATCTTTACGTCTCCCGTGTTGTTTCCGCATTTAAACTGTCCAGATTAACAAGACGGGAAAAATCTGAGACTTTATATAAGAGAATAAGAGATTTTTGAGACGTGAGAGCCGCGGTGGTAAACGGTTTGCCAGGCTCAGCCCTGCAAAATCCCCGTCTTAATCTTTGCTTCGTTAGAATTAACAAAGCGCGCATTATTAAAAACGCGGTGGTAAAACAAGTAACGAGATAGTAATAAATTCACAAAAACACGCGGTTTTTCGCAGCGACGTCCGCGGCGGAAAGAAAGCGAAACACTACTATACGGGGGAATAACGGTGCACAGGACGCCCATTCGGGGTTTCTCCGTTCTGCCGCTTATTAAATTCGCGTTTCTAAGGAATCGCGCTCGGTCGCGCACAAAAATAAATGCTCTCGGGGAGAGGATTTTCATTACGTAAGACGTCGGCCGCGAGACGCGCTGTAAATGCGGCTTTTCCACGTGCCGTATCGCGCTCTCATTTTCGGCGAATCACTCGAGCGAAAAGTATCTCGCGGGCGCGAGTTTCGCGACGTCGCGGATTTTCTGCCGAGCACGGGAGAGACGTACCTATAGGCGCCGGAGGCGGCGGCGACCGCAAAACCAGTCGAGGGGTGGCGAGAGAGGGAGGAACGGGAGCGAAGGGGAAGCGACAGAAAGATTTCCGCACCCCCGCGGGAAATTCGCGTGGATAAGCTGGATAGGAGGAACTCGTCCGAATGAAATATCCTTTCAATAAGCCGCCGGTGATCCGTCGGCCGCTTGGCACGGCAGCCGACATTTTATTGCATAGCTATGCGCACCCCCTTTTCTCGTATCCGGGGACTTCTGCGGGAGAGAATGTAAGGAGGATGTTAAGGGTCGAGAGAGGATCCGCTTTTACCTCTCTTCCCATATTCTCGCGTTTTCCTTTTTGCTCGTCGACCGCTCTCCGCCGCTCTCCACACGTGCAGCGCACGCAAGTTGTGAGTCTCGAATGGACTTAATCGCAACATTTTCTCAGACTAATAACGCGTCCGATTTTCTTTTGTAATCACATTAATTATTATCACGTTGTTCCAACATTAAAAATCAGTCGTTTTCTCCGTTGCATTTTTATTCTGTTCTCCATTTATGCAGCGCGAACGTACACAGTCTTTTTCTTATTCTGTGCTTATACATAGCATGAATTTTCATTACGATAAAACAGGAATAACTTTTATGCTTTTTAATTTTTCTTTTTTTCGTGTTAAAGAATTTCAAATCCTGTTTTATCCTTTAATAGGATTGTCCCTCGTTTTCCCCGTCGGACGGAGCCAATTGTCTTTGCCCGAATATATTGAGCCCTCTGAAAATCCTCATCATGAATTTTTCTCGTTAAACGAGAAGCGGATCGCCGTTCTAGCGCCATTCCCCTCATTAACGGTGAATATTATGCGAAAACTTCTATCCCGCCTGCCTTTAAAGTTCGATCGTTACTTTCACTGTAATTATTTTATACTTTAGCACATCGGGCGTTCCATTCCAGTGCCTCTATTTCGAGGTGCATAACCGAAGAACTTGAACGAGATAGAAACCATACTGCCGGCGAGTTAGGGTAGAAACAAAGCTACTCTTGCTTCACTTTACTGCCATTTCCTTCCCTTCCCCTATTGTTTGTCTCAAAGAGGGAGAATTGTCTTTTACCCGGATATTTATTAGCTCTTTTGATGTTCTTCGTTGCGAATTTTTCTCGTTAAATGATAAGGAGGGGGATTTGCTCTCTCTACGAACTTCGCCGGTACAGTTGCACATTTACTTCGTATTTATTCGAAATCTTTATTGCAGTCTTTCTTTCATGATAATAATAATAATAATAATAATAATAATAATAATAATAATAATAATATCATTTTAAAAATCTACTAATCACTCGTTGTAGATAATAAAGAACTTTTTGATATGCAGATAAAGCAATGGAAAAATAATTATAATATATATAAATACATCTAAATATACTCGACAAAATAATAATTATTTTTAAACAATATAAGGATCTGTTTCTCGTTGCTTTGATCTCGATATCGGGCTACGCGAAAACGCAATGCGTAGGAAGATGTATTACGTTAACTCCGACGTTATTTTACGTGAGATTGAAATATTACACCGGCGATCTGTCGCGGAATTGAAATCAATATCCCGCGCCGCGGCACTGACCGTAGCATACGAAAAAGAAAGCAACAGATGTTCGCTCGAACAAACAACACGCAATTGGCCGGTGCGTGACGCGAATTGCGATCGAACGCGATCATCCGTAACAATGTGATCTCGCGTCGGAAGGCATCAAATATTTATCGCATGGCAAAGTGGCCTTTATAAGGAAGGGAGGGACGCGCCCTTATTTTATCATCTTTCGCGCTCCTCCCGAGACGTAGGCCAATTGTCTCTCCCGGGATATATTAGCTCTTTTGAGGCTCTCCACCCTGATAACGTGCGGAGAAACGATGGATCTCTCTTTGCTTTCTCTGATTTCTCTCTCTCTCTCTCTCTCTCTCTCTCTCTCTCTTTCTCTCTTCTTCGTCCCTTCTATCCCTTCTTACGTCTCTACAGCGTTTCACGTACATCCCCGCCGGCGGATAAAACTGCAGATTTTACATCCGTACGCTCGAGCGAACACGGCCACCCTCGTCTCTCTCGTAAGCTCTTCTTGCCGCATCGAACTGCACGATGTATACGAAAGGCGCCTTCGAGATTCGGCAAGCAGCGAAAAGTTTTCTCAGGAGTTACGCCACTCGCGAAACTCACGTTCGGGACTTTGCTGCAGTCTCCCAACTTTTCGATTCCCTCCGATGAGGATGTTTATTTTTGTATTTTGGTACCGGACTCGATTGGCCTCTTCGTAATTCCATAGATGTGGTACACCGGTTTTTTATTCTAACAATTAGGACGACGAGATTATTCGACTCGTTAATTCCATAAGACATTTTATTTAAGCTAAAAATGCCAATATAGATACCAGGATCAGAATATCTATATATAATGTATAAAGATATTCGTGTACACCGTTCTCTCGCTTTCACAGCTTGTCAGATTGTATTAAGAGTTAGCTCTCCCTTCCCTCGAGCTGATTATATTGCGGCGGACACGTCGTCGGTTTCGTCATAAATTCTCAATCTATGGAAATTTCAGCGCAAATACTTGCTTCGCGAGTTACAAAAGTGATATTACTTTCCGAAACGACACTTTAACGTTTCTGTTCCCTGACAAGGGGGCTCGCTTTCGCGGGCACAGACGGATTCGTCGGAAGTCGATCTGGCCGCGAAACGTTTCCGTAAGGGTCGCGTAAAAATAAACGGGCACGAACGAGCGAACCGGAGGGATATTTGAAATCGATGGCTGCACGCGTTTTTCCGCCGCTCGTCTTTTTAGCGAATACGTTCGGCGGCAGATTTACATGCACGAAATGGCCAATAAATCTCTAAAAATATCCTCTTCTATTTCTCGCTGATATTTTTCAGTCGCCATTTCGCCGTCTTTTTCCTCGTCTCTTCTCTTTCGTCCTTCTTGTGTTTCTGGAAACATTGTCCTTATTCTAATATAACGACCTGCTCCTCAAAAATTCTTTTCTGGCGCTAAGAATATCTAAGGCTACATTTTATTTTTATTAATTCAAACGTTTCTGTTTATGTAAAAATACTATAACTATTGTATTTATTCCTGAGCAGCATTAAACTACATTATGGAAGTGAGGAACGGACAAGTCAAAAGGAATACAGTTGTAAAATTAGAATAGAAACATATTGAATTTAAAAGTCAGTCAATTAAATCGAAGATGTAGTAACAGCTCTTTGCGATAAAATGAAACTAATACGTTTTCTCGCGAAAGATCGTTGACGGTACGAAAGAGAAAGAGAGAGAGAGAGGGG